GTTTCATTTGGTCAAAAAGGGCCAAATATGGCCAAATTCAATGGATCCGTCTCCATGGCAACCAAGTGCACGTGTGGAACTTCCGACACCATATTTGCTAGTTTTGTACCAAGACACATCTGTGGTGTAAATTTCATCAAAATCCGAGACATGTCGTTTTCCAAGCCCTATAGTTAATTTGTTGGTGCTTACAGAGAATGCATATTAAAGAATAAGAACAGAAAAGCGTTGACATTCGCTTCGAGATAGGGAGGCCCGGGTTCGATTCTAGTTAGCTATGCCGCGTCAAACGTAAAACGCTTACATACATGTAGTATTCTAACTGTTCCTTCGCTAAGCTCTCTGCACTAGAAATCAGGGTTCTCTCTGTGAAACCTTATAACCCGCGGTCCCTTGTCACGGTAGGCGTTGGCTGCTCAATGGTCCTGGGTGCCGCGTTTAGATTTTAACTTGAAGCTCTTTACCGATAGTTTTGGAAGAGGCGTCTTTACTCATCATTACCAAGTACCTAGTTTATCTAAAGGGAAGAGAGGACATACGTGATCAATAGAGTAATGCTCTTTCATCAGAACCCCTGATCTGGGACCACAAATATCAAAATTTAGGAAAAGACACTTTTTCTCAACATTACCACGCACTTAGTTTATCTGCTACATATATATAGGGGGAGAGGACATTCTCACTATATGATCCAGGGATGGGGTCAATTACTTTAAAAAGTAATTAATTAAATTACAATTACTTAGACTTTTTCTTCAATTAAATTACAATTAAATTACAGGCTTTCTAAGACACGTAATTAATTAAATTACAATTACTTTGCAAAAGTAATTAATTAAATTACAAATTACATTTTTTATTTTTTGAAAATTTTTATTATCCTTGTCAATGAATATACAGAACATCATTTATTTGTATATAAGCTCAGCCTCTGCACAAACAGTACAAGAAATAATATGCTATAGGCATTGTGTATTGTTCTGGTTTAATTAAATTTTATAACATTTATTTACAAAACAATAAGAATCTCCTTCAAGAACTATCCGAGATCAGTTTGATGCAGTTTCCACCACACAAAACCTACATGTACACAAATTGCATGGCTTATGATATTTGATTAAAAGTGAGTATTTTAATAGAGTGAAATGAGTCGCAACTGTAACCCCTCAAATTAAATATTTCCTTTGAAGGTAACCTGAACATCCTAAATTGCTATTTATGTTGAACAATTTTACTTCATAAATCAGAATTGTACAGATAGAAAATTCATTCATAAAAATCTGTTTAGATGTTAAAATAATTATCAAATTGAAAGGTGTTTTTTTCCTAAAGCTAGCGGAGCATTTTAAATTGAAATAATTATCTTCATTGGCTTTGTCTTCTAAATCATGGAATGAATATCTCTTTAGAGGAGTTGATTTGTTTTGATTGCAATTGAAAGCTGTGATCTGGAAGGCAATTATCTCTTCCCAACAAGAGAGAACTTAATTAATGACACACACCTTCTTTTTCTTTATTATTGATCAAACAACAAAGATTGAAATATAATAAATGTGTGTTTCATAGCTGAATAGACCTAAGATAGGTGGTTCAAAATTCATATTTATAAACATAGATCAAAAAATTCAAAATTTACATAATGATTAGAAAGAAACTAGTTTATTATTATCAAGCCAATCATTTAATTATTTTGTAAGCATTAACCTAAGATTTTGTATAAATGAAGGATTGAGGAAATGTTCAACAATAAAATAAAAACCAGTAAAATGGGGAGGTAGTGGTGACGATATATCATGAATATATCATGAATGTGTATTATATAAAGTAATTGAATGTAATTGAAAAAGTAATTGAAATTACATGGTATTTTTTCAGTGTAATTAATTAAATTACAATTACAAGTAATTCAAAAAATGTTTAATTACAAATTACTTCCAATTACTTCAAAAAATGTAATTAATTACAGTCAATTACAATTACTTTTTTCAATTACCCCATCCCTGATATGATCATAAGAGACCCGCTCTTACTTTAGAACCCCTGACCCTGAGACCATTAATTTTACAATTTTGGTAGAGGGCTTAATGCTTGATGTCCAGAGGTAAAGAGGATTTTTTTTTTGAAATTGCACTAATTTTGATGGTTTTAGACTTTCCCCTTGTGTTCCAGAGGAGCAGGGACCATGAAATTAGCATGTTTGTATCCCTTCACTCATTGATGGTACAGGCTAAAACTGGTTAAAATTCATTCAGCGGTTCAAGAGAAGAAGCTGAAAAAGTTTGAATGTTTACGATCGATGCACGTCGCACGAAACACGTTGAACGACGACAGACAAAAAATATTTTTACTTCTCCAATAATATACATATATACTCATGGGAAGCAAGAAAAAAAAACATACCACATACATTGTATATGATGATAGTATTAGAAGTGGCGTTAAGGAGGAAGAATGTACTTTGCTCCCCAACATACATTTGAGAGTTTAAAAAAAAAATCAGGAGACGCAGTTAATATCTCTTTCCTTCGCCAACCCCAACCCTCCAACCATGGGATTTTATTTCTAAAGGTTATACAGTAAAACTTGTGTAATCCGGTCACTACCGGTTCCATAGAAAATGGCCGGATTAGACAACATTTAAAACGAATGAATTTACTGAAATGGACTTAAAGTTAGCATCGTATTAAGCAAGATTTCTGATTATACATGCGGAGTAGACAAGTTTTACTTGTATTATATAATACGGTTAAAACGTAGGGGGTCAGATTTCTATAGAGGTCATTTTTCAACGTGTGTGGATTTGTAGAATTACCGGTCCGGGTAGGTTTTCTACGGAAAAATAGAAAAATACCAGGTTTATTCGTCATAATTTTAAGAAAAAAAAATATATATATGAAGATTCTTTTGACGACTGTATTCTTTCAAAAATAAAGTCAAATTTAAGACAGACCTAATTACATGTTCTCTCTAACTACATGATTATATAGCATAGTAATATACATATTCAGCAAAAAATTATTGAAGTATTGAAAATATTGTATACATTTCCCAAATAATTAGACATTGTTTTGTAATCTACTTGAAAATCTTCAGGAAAGTGTCATGTTTACAAAGATAAGAGTTCACCGTGTTAATCTCTCTCTGCTCTCTATTAATAGAACACGTAACGGAAGTCATAGAGATGCCATGGTCCGATACGGCAGACATAACCTTCTAATCACCCTTCATTTCTTTCATGTCTTACCCAATACGGAGAGGTTAACAGGACGAGTGCGGTCTGTAAACACTACACTGTTTCAAGGTCAGCCTGTGTAGAATGTTTCCAAGTATATAAGATTGATTCTTGTCGAACAAATGACGTAGAGAGTCACGTGTTAGATAGACCAATAAGTTTATTTTGAGCTGGGGGCATGTGATTCCGAAAGAGAGGATAATTCGTACAATGTAGCACAGTCGAGAAGGTTTTAAAAAACAAACAAACAAACAAACAAAAAAACAAAACAAAACAAAACTTTTTTTTAAATTTGTATGTCGTTAATCCTGTGATTATACGTCGAGATATGCATATCTGTTTTGTTTTAATCTTTCCAAGCCTTGTTCTGAATCATGCCATAGAAAGTTTTGAAATTGTTTTCTTTGGAAAAGTGTGTTGTTTTTTCCAGAGATGTCTTTGTCATATAAACTATCAGATCAGATTCAACTGGTAAGAGACCTTTAATTAATACTGTCGGAGATGACACGACAGAAATTTCCTTTTTTTTTTTTACTTTACGAATTTGATCGAAGAAATACCTTATATCTTTCTATAAAACATTTGGCTTTGAATTTTCATGTTAAATATCCACTATTGAAAAAGTAATTAGTTTTTAAAATATAATGTTATGCCATCATATTATGAAGTACTTCTCTCTCAACAACCCCCCCCCCCCCCCACACACACACACACACAAACCCTCTTAATGTGGGCACATATATTTCCCAAAGACTGAGTTAAAAATAAATGAATCAATAAGCAACTACAATTAATTTTCTGAAATAGATCTAATGTTCTTAAAAGAAATTCAATACCTATGTCGGAAAAATCAGATTTGTAAACAAGTAAAGAAACACCATATACTTTTTAAAAGATTTATTTTTCAAAACAAATATTAATAACAAAGTAATAAACTATACAATATACAAATAAAAAAGGAGATAAAAATGTGAGCAATTGCACAAAAAACCAGGCGTTGTATAAAACATTGATGAGTAATACATATGAAAGGAAATGATAAATAAAATAAATCTGTTTATTGCCAATTGTTGCACATTAATTAATATGCAAACTTGAATGTCTGTATTTAATTTAATTGGTTACTTTTTATATATGTTCATTCTAAAAAGATACAGGTATCGTAAGCTTTAATGGAAATATAAAGAGGCATGTTTATCATACAAAATTAGCAAAAAAATCCCTGAGGAGAAAAAAAAGAAGTAGAAAAAATTACAAATTGTCTTTTAAGATGCATTATGACATAGGTAACCTCTATATAGTCACATCATCCAGGAATAAAAAAAAATAAACAAAAACACAAAACAGAAAAGCGGTACACTCAGTTGATATTTTCGTAATGTACTGATATGTTAAGATTTTCATAATTCTTACATAGAAATCATATATAAACAAAATTATTCATAAAACGGAGAAAAGATTGACATACATGTACAGCGTATCGAAAAAGTTCAATATTTTAATTTTGTTTTACTAAAAAAATGTACAAGTATAAATTTTGGTCCTTCTGTAATGCACTTTAATTGTAAGTATTCAAAAAACATTATTGTTAAGTGGCTTAGTGTAGTGCTAGGTAGCCTTAATGCAAACTTTGTATTTTCTAGGACTCTTAGAAAAATCATATGTACATTGTCTTATAAACAGTAAAACATTGTAGCAAACTTTTAATTTTTTTTCAAAATATGTCAAATTGCTTCAAAGGATTTTGCTATACAATACTCATAAATTTTTCTTTTACGATGTATTTACATATTCACACTTCGGATATGCTTGGCAAGTTACGTCGCCCTCTGGAAGAATCGGCACTTCGGATACTCTCTCGTCTGGTCCCATTACTAGTTAAGGACACCGCGTCGCCGGCTGAAAGCAGACTTTCTACCGTCTGAGATTCTTTCAGTTCACCTTTATTGAGCAGCGGTTGATTGACATCTCTCTGGTTTTGGTTCACGTTTTCTGTCACGTGTTCTGACGTCTTCCGGTCACGTGATAGAGACGTTCTTCTAGTGTATATGCTAATTTGCCTGCTTCCCCTCCTAAGCAATCCTCCAATAGATGTCCCTATCGTTAACAGGCTGGATCTTCGACCCTCGTTGATGTACTTTATCTGAGAAATCTTCCTCTTGAAACACTTTATAACCTGAAATTGATTTAAAATTTACTGCTAAAAAGAGTACTCGTCATTTTATAGAATTGTGCAAAAAGGAGGAAAAAATGTCAAACATTTTAAATTATATAGAAAAATGCGATACCTCTCTGTTGAAAAAACACAGTAACAAAGCAACACAGGCGCCCTGTAATAAAAAGAATTATTAAAAGAATATTTCTTTTAATAAAAGTGCAACAAATTACCTATACAAAATTTTACATGTCGGATTTTCTTTTCTGTTTTGAAATTAATGAAAAATTTGAAATCATGTTTTATTTTGGTATCAGCACAAATTTTTTGCTGAAAAACCTTAAATTTCAAACCCTCCAAACAGGGGACTTCGATGTCTCGGAGCCCGATGTTTATTCGCTTAGCATTATATGTAGCAGCCATAAAAAGTGGAGGGGTGGATCTCAGAAACTAGAGATGGTACCATCAGCATATCTTCATGGAAGTGGTTACTGACCCCTAGTACCCAATCCCCAAAATTTCAAACCCCGGGGCAAGGGACTTCGATGTCCCCGAGCCCGATGTTTTGAAATAATGAGAAATTTGAAGTTTTATTTTAATATCAGCACAAATTTTCTGCTGGAAAACCTTTTATTTGTCCTTAATTTGTAAACAAAGAAAAAGATCTTTAAAGAAAAAGATCTTTACCAAGACATTATTTTCACTCAACAATTTTACAGCTAAGTCTTAATTATCTTCGAAAACTATTTAATAATTAAACTTTTACTGATTGATAAAAAAAAAATACCTGGTAAGACGAGACAAGCGCCACCGTCACACGATAAGCGATATGGTTCGGCTGGAACGGAAAGAGCACCTGCTGAAGTCCTAACAATGGCACCAGAATCAGACAAGCTCGTAATGTTTTCCTGTGAAATAAAACAAAGAGTGATTATATCGAGTCTAAACAAGCGCACGAGAATCAGACAAGTTCTTTATGTCTTCCTGTGAAATAAAACATTTAGTGTGATTGTATCAAGTCCAAAAGGGCACAAGAATCAGACCAGCCCGTAATGTTTTCCTGTGAAATAAATATCGTTTATATAAATTAAATATCTGTTGTCTGTTCTAGCTTAAGGGAAATATGTTTTATTTTTTATGGTGTTCCGTTGGGGCCACCTTCGCTCTCTTGCCATTAGAATGCGAGAGTACGAAGATGCGAAGCCGAAGGAGCGATACCAATATCGCACTTTCGCCTTCGCAACTCTCTCTTTTGCCTTCGCATTTTACTTTTGTGTGAAAGCTCTTTATCGTTATGAGTTATAATTTTAGTGGGCTTAATTTAGTGAATTTATAGTCAGAGTTACTGTTGTAGGTTCATTAATTTACCACACTTCTGCCTTCACACTTTCGCCCTAGCCAGTATAACTTTTCTCTCGGATGTTATTGATACGCATGCGCGAGAATAGTGTGACAGCGCCAAAAAGGATGGTAACTAATGGTTTAAATTGACTTCAAACGATAAAGAATTCTACAAAGAAGGCGAGGTCGAAAGTGCGATAGTGCGAAGGCGAGAATGCGAAGTTGCGAAGGCGATAGAGCAATACTAGATGGAGCGATACAAGTATCGCTCCTTCGCCATCGCAACTTAAATTCGCTTTTGCCTTCGCAACTTCACACTCTCACATCTTCGCCCTAGAGGCGAAAGTGCGAAGGTGCGATTGTCCCTAAAGGAACACCATATTTTTTTAATAAATATTTTGTTTCTTTCTCTGATATAATAAAAGAAGACAAGGAACTCAAGAAAATAAAACAAATTAACTGACATAAAAAATGATACAAATAATTGCTTTTTTATGAAAGCATAATAATTGATTTGCTATTGAAAAAACAAAATATCATAGAATGCTCATTTCTAAAACATTAAGACGACTCCTTGGGAAATTCAATATTGGAAATTCCCAGAAGGGTGCTCTTTAACCATACTGAACTTTTAGAAAGAAATGCAGAATATATCATTAACTGTTAATTAATCAGGGGCATATGTCTTACAAACTGCAAATTTATGTGTATACACTTTCTTCGTCATATTAATTGTAAGTTTTACACAATATGAAATATTTTCCTGTAACACTGAAGCATTAATGTAAACACGTTATGTATATCAAGGTAAGTATAAGTCGGAATTGCAATTTGTTTACGGAAATAAACAGGTTACATGTACTTAATTGACCAAGATTTAATATAAGTATACATGTATCTATACATATATTTTTGTGCCTTGAATACATTTTTTGTATAATATATTGCACGTACCTAGGGATGTAAATATGTTCATTTTAAACCCTTTCAATCACAGAAAGTGATTGACATATAATATAATATATGTGTCGAAAAGATTATGCACAAATTTATGTATTAAATGGAATGTGCGTTGGTACATTTGTACATGCATGTGTTTAATGATATTTTCACTCACATCAATTTTAATATAGTAAAACAAAATTAAGGCTAATTTCTACACTTCGAGTACACTTTTTTTTCTAGATCAGAGTATTTTTTTATATACTTAAGTTATTTCTCAGCAGAGAGCTGACCTACCATAAGTCATGTTGTTTCTCCTAAGTTGACAAAGATTTGTCCTACCTTTGTTGTGTTCTTTCTCCCATGTTGAAAAAGAGTTGACCTACCTTAGTTTTGTTGATCTTCCTATGTTGATGACATTACCTTGTGTTGTATCGCTTATGTTGACTGCGCGTATTTTGACCTACCTTAATTGTGTTGTTTCGCCGATGTTGACTGCGCGTATTTGACCTTCCTTAATTGTGTTGTTTCGCCGATGTTGACTGCACGTATTTGACCTTCCTTAATTGTGTTGTTTCGCCGATGTTGACTGCACGTATTTGACCTACCTTAATTGTGTTGTTTCGCCTCTATGTTGACTGCACGTATTTGACCTACCTTAATTGTGTTGTTTCGCCGATATTGACTGCACGTATTTGACCTACCTTAATTGTGTTGTTTCGCCGATGTTGACTGCACGTATTTTCATCACTACAATCCTCATCACATTAATCAGAATGATTAAATTAACCTAAAAATGAAAAAAAAATATCTATGAAATATTACTGTGCCTGATAATTCAAGTTTAAATTTGATGTAATGAACAATTTTTTATGTCGAATATGATATCCCACATACACATATCTACCGATTTACAAGCAGAAATCGTGACTGTAGATTTTTTAACCTATACCTATAGATACCTTTTTTCATTGTTGTTCATCTTGCTCTGCACATTGCAATGATTAATGTGCTTGAGAGAGATATTTTGTCAGATTTTAAATTGAAAAGAAAACTTTTTTTCTTTGGAAATTCGTCATTTTAAAAAGTGCGTGATGTATTGTTCAACGCTCTTCTCCTGATAAGCCATCAACAAGAAATTCCTCACTAGGACACAGAACATCAATTTGAAGACTAGGGCCACTTCTTTTAAATATCATAGAAACATTTAAAAAGTGTTTTATCCTTTTTAAACGTTTGCAAGAATATTGATGATCTAAAATTCTAGACCTCATTTGCTGCTCACCAAAGAAAAATCGTGACAGAAGCTATATGTCATATTGAATATGAAATCGTTTTGCACACTCTAGAGAGAAACTCTTCTCAAATTAAAATCATCAATTGGTGTGCAATTTACAAAATGTTTATGAAGTCATTTCAATCACGTGTATAATCCATAGAAATGAATGCAACTCATGGACATTTGAATTGTTGTTAATATAGAAATTCACATATGAAAGGGTTTTTTTTTTCTATATTAACTGCAAGAAACATCATTTCTGTGCAATCATTGAAAATAAATATTTAAATCATTTTTAACTCTGTTGAAAAATTTCAGCCTAACGTAGAAAAAATCAACATCAAATAGACCTTCACAATCTCGAGCTCAGAGTTCTGCGATATCGTTCCTCTACATAAAGAGTTGAGGAACGATATCACAAAAGCATTGAAGATGCATGTACATAAATACCAATGGAGGACGTTTACATCATTTAATGATCTTCAATCATAGAATATTAGGGTACATTACAGGGTATTCTCTCTCTAATCATAAAATTCATTTGTTTTATTGGAGAATAAGATAAGGGTACTCTTTTTCTCTCTCTCTAGAAACTAGAAATAGTCATGATAAAAAGCTTACAACGAGTGAAGCCATACAGGTTCCATGTAAAATCCAAATCAGCTTATTCTCGCCAACATCACCGGTCCAGCAGCTACAATTAAAAAAAAACCAATCAGATTAACGGAATCACCGCAACCTTTACGGCGTAAATATAGCGTATGTAACATTTACAGCGTAAATATCAGCTACAATAAAGAAAATGATCAGATTAGTGGATTCGCCGCAACATTTACACCGTCAATATATCAGCTACAATAAAGAAAACGATCAGATTAGTGGATTCGCTGCAACATTTACAGCATAAATACATGTATATCAGCTACAATATAGAATACGATCAGAATAGTGGATTCGCCGCAACATTTACAGCATAAATATACCAACTACAATAAAGAAAACGATCAGATTGTTGGCTTCGCCACATTTACAACGTAATTATACCAATTACAATTATACAGGAAACGATCAAATAACCGGATTCGCCGCGCATCATTTACAGCACAAATATTCAAATTACAATAAAGAAAACTATGAAATTAATGGATTTGCCGCAATGTTTACAGCGTAAATTACATATTTACAGCGTAAATTACCAACTACAATTTGATAGTAAATCAGCGGATTCGCCGCATTATTTACAGCGTAAATGTACCATCTACAAAAAAGGAAAATATCAAATTAGTGGATTCGCCGTAACATTGACAGCCTAAATATACCATAGCCGCAACATTTACAGAGTAAAAGGTACAATAAAGGAAACGATCAAAGTGGATTTGCTGCAACATTTACAGCCTTAATATACCAATTACAATAAAGGTAGAGGTTGAATTTAAATTTTGTGGATTCTTCGCAACATTTACAGACTGACTTTTTGCAACATTTGCAACGGAATATTTACATTCACTGAATATTTTCTCCTTTATTTCTAAAGTAAACCATTGCCGTTTATCAGTTCATGAACAACACAAGGCATATCACCTGTACAGATTTCCTTATCAGTGGCTGTTCCATCAATGAAACGTACTATGATGTACATATAAATAATACAATAATTAATCTTTTTAATCCTTCTTTAAATGATTATTCATACAGATATAAATATAAACAATAAAGTGTCTTTCTTTGGTTGTTAGTACGGGAATTAACGTCGCAGCTATTGCAGAAAAAATTTACATAACCCGCTTACGCGCAAAGAAAGCATTTTATTGTTTAAAATATACCAGCTACAATAAAAAAAAAATTGCCAAAAAATGATTATGCAACATGTGCAACTAAAATATATACTGACTAGAAATAGAATTAGATTATTCTCGGCAATTGACAAGTTCATTCTTAATATACTGTTTGAAATTTTAATTCTTTCTCATGTACAACATGATTGAACCCTCTACAATATAAGAAATTATTAATAGCTTTAATCAAATTTTCCGTTATTATCAAATAATTCTCTGCAACATTCACAACTTGAAGCCAGCATAAAAAACAATTAAAACCAGATCCACAACCTAAATATAGTAACTACAAATAAAAATTATGATACACGAAGGAGACCTCTCATGAAACGTCAACCTCCAACTATTTACGAGATTGGAGAGAAAAGTTGATTCTATACACAAGGGCATGCTCTACGTACGAACAGTTCCTAAAAAGAGACAAGCTATTGACAAATACTTTGAGGAAACAAGAACATCAACATTCTTGTTTAAAGTCAACATTTCGCAAATTATAAGGTGGATATACTGACCTTGTAAGCAAATACAATATATCATTAAGTCGAATGTTGACTCACGTTTTTCATACAAATTGTTGAGCTATTATATTCACACTGAATTGTCTACGGATTTTTTTTCGTTTTATCGATCATGAAAAGGAAGACGCGGCGGGTGTGACCCGTCGACAGGAGATGCTTACTCTTCCATGGCACCTGATCCCGCTTTTTGATGCTTTTAAGAGGTCCGTGTTTGCTCTGCTACAAACTTGCATTGCTTCAATGGACTTCTGAGCTTGATTACTGTTCGTTATTTTCATATTTCATAATGTTTGCTCATTAGTAGGCGGGCTTTCTTCAAACCATGGTCCTCGGGAAGTATTTTGTTTTTGAGAAGAAAAATGATGATAGGAAAGCTCGATTTGGAGAAAAAATCACTTTCTGGCACTTATGAAACCAATTTGTATCAAAAGATTTGAGAAATGAATTTGAGCACTGTCTGGGTTATATCTGTCGAATTCAAATAAGTACATGAGAACTAACCTAAGTGATTAATGTTTATATTAACAAAACTTTACCCTAACAAACGAACATATTTGTTTTTGTGAAAAATTGCAAATATACGTACATCATCGACATCATTATTTCAATCAATTTTTAGCACAGTTGTCTTCTAACTAATACATTTTTGGTCATTAAGGTTCATAAACCCTCTGCTCACTCATATAAAATGTTTCTTTAACTCTTATGATTTTCCAAAAGAAATGTATTTTTTAAGTAAAATACAAACAATTATAGCATAGCTTGCGTGGCAAAATTGAACAAAAGGGACGCTTTAACTTGACAAGATTATAAAGGAATAATAGACATTTATGTCATTAAGAGTTATCTCTCTTATCAGAGTATAGATGAACCTTAAAAATGGATGGAACAGATACTTACTGTAGTCTACCGACAGGATCCTCTGATTTAGCATTCAGTATTGCATATATTGCTACGGGAAGAATGGGAATCACTACCAAAAAAAACATATCCGTCTCGTCACAATGTCATCATATTACATATATATCAATTTCATTAAAACGTATCCTATATTGCTAGAAAAACACCAAAAAGTGATGGTGCGTCTTTAAAAGTTCTATTGTGAAATATATAGAGAGTTTACTAATTTTCTATGTTTTGAAACACCCCGTTTCTTCATTTTCATATTTCTACTGTGGCCTACTCAAATTCAAGTCTCCAGATTTATCAAATCTTGATCTTAATTAATTGCAAAATTAATGTACATATGTATGCTTTCATAGATACGTCAAAAATTAACGCTGTTACTCTTAGTCATTAATTTTCTGAAGTTGGAAATTTGTATAAAAAAATAATACTAATAAAACAAAGAATGTTGCAACATTCAGATTTAAAATATGCTAATCACTATCCCACGCTTATAATCTTATCAAATCATAGTATTTAAAAATGTTTTTAAATCTAACTAATTTTCAAAGTCATGACATATTTAGCAAGAATACATAAAAAAAATTCATTGGTCTTAGAGAGGACTTTGTTAAAATTATATGCAGAAGTGTGCCATTTATATTAAATTACAGCTCTGCAGGAATGCGGTCTCACATAAAATGTTCATATCAGGTATCCGTATAAAAGATTTTTTGTATATATTAATTTATAGGTTTAAACTCCCTCTGTGATCTAATAAAAATCCAGGGGATCAAAGTTTGTAAACATTTTATTATTACATTGTTAAAGAGAGGTTCTTCTTACGGTTTAATCATTTCCTGACCTGATTTTGCTGGAGGGGAGGAATTGTTAATTACGTACCCTGACCTAATTTCTTCATTTTCTTAATATCAACTTTCTTTGAGATAGGGCGTGATAAATTAAACTTCATTAGATCGAATTCGAATTTCATTAATCAAGCATAGCTGCACATGCAAGTTTTGTGAAATTGTCTGAGAGATCCCGAAAAATGTTTTTTTTGGCATAGATATTTCAGAAGTTGAAACCTACTAGTATCCTATACATTACTCCCCGATAAAATAACCAATCCAAAATAATAAATTATTTAAAAAAAAAAATACCCCATCCGATACACAGTGACACCAGCAGCAGTTTCTTTTGGTTAGTGAAGGTCAAGACAATTATCGAATGTAGATAGAATCCCTCTGCAAAAAGCCAGGCATAGTTGCAAATCTGGAAATATTTCTGTAGGATCCATAGCGCTATACACCAAACCTGAACCAAAGACAATAATAAAAGGATTTCTAAAAGACAAAGTAAAATTTCATTTCATTTCAAAGGCGTAATGTTCAACTTTCGACCAAGAGACAAAATGAATAAATATTTGTACATGAATTGAGTTGATATGATATTGAAAAAACTTTTTTTTCCGAACCTATAAACTATTTTTGCCCTGAGCGTGTGCATTTTCCCTGACTTTTAAGATGGGGATTATTTTTATTTAATATAAGTTCAATCATTTAAAATCAAAGTACTTTGACTTTAATTTCATAATAAATATTTTTGTATAAAATTTGTATATCTGATACCATTCAAAATAACAAAACGGCATTGTCCAAGAACTTTTTAGTATAGTCCATGTATAATGCATATAAATAGTGGAAATCAACATTGTATATAATTAATTTGTATAATAAATATATAATCAAAAGTTGGCTAGATATATATCTGGATAATATATTAATATTTAATCAAATGTATATTTATATATTTACTGATAGACTGAATATTTTGGTACACAATATTTACCGGAGTTTCAAAGGCTACATCCGGATTAGGGGTTACCAGGTAATTAAATAATAGCCACATCACACCATACAGAATATAGGACAAAAACAGGTTCTTGTGTATCGTCACTCGCGTACAGTGAAGTTGTCTGCAAATAAAAAAAAAAGTTGTTTTCAAACAAAATCAGTAAAGAACTCATATATAGACAACATATTCGTCAAAGAAATCAAACGTCATATTACTGATAGAAATGTTGAAATTCTTACCTGAAACAGGTGAAAACAATTAGCGCAAGGCACAGTAAAACAAACGACACCACATATCCGCTCTCATATACATAGTTTATGTTCTGAAGGTTCTACAAGAAATATATGTTTTCAAAGTTATCAAATACTCCACGTGATAACAATTTGCGTGGAAAAATTATTATTTATATCTAAGGCCGCCAGATTATTCTACAGAAGAAAGTTTTTGATTTTAAAAATCCGAAAAACTTCCTACAGAAATAATGTTACATACCTAATGTTAATTATTCTTTGGAATTTCTTGAAAACCAGATTTTTTTCATGGTATTTCTATATGCAAGTGCAGCTACATGTATAGAGTTCACAATTTAAATTAACGATATAAATTGGAATAATTTCAAAATGTATTATACGATATATTTGTAGTTCTGTTGTTCTTTATGAGTTTCAAATGTTTTTCTCGTAATTCTGTGTCATCCCTCGAAACACTTTCAGGCCTATCCTAGCGCCAGGGCTATGATTTGAACAAATTTGAATGTGCATTTCGATTATGCTTTTAAAATATTTTTTATCCGGTTGAAGTTCCAATCCAATTGTTTTCAAAAGATTAATTGGCCGTTTTACTATATTTATAAATTTTGTTTGCTTAGTTTGATGACATACGTGTAAGTTATTATGTTCTGACGTAATACTCGAAAGTGTTTAATGTAGAAAGTCAACAGATTAAAGGACAAGTCAGGAAAGCTGATTTAGGACTACATGTATTGTTCTTGGAAGGGAATAACAAAACAAGTCAAACTTACCTCAAATTCTGAGAAGTCAGCGCAGGGGATGTAATTGGTCCATGTCATGTTATTATAAGGGTTGACATACCAGGTACCATCACTCATGCATTGTCGGTATGACTGACCTTAAAACAGAAGAGACTGAGTATACATGTATAACTTTATCAAAAGCTTCATAGACAAAACAGGGTCTAAATATCTTTGCAAATTCGTAATGTGCTTTAAATTAAACTTGATTATAACATTTGAACCAATGGTAATAGCCACATAGAAAGTATGTAGAAACCATACTGAGCGGAGTCGTAAACTTATTGATAATATCTAAACGAATGTTCATCTCTACAGACTTAGTGGTGTTGACATCATATTGAGTTGTGGTATTGACTTGATGGTGATATCTGATGTTAAAGGTTAGAGATAACGAACAGTGATTAATCTCATAAATCCGGAAAACAAAACGGAACAGGGAAAAACACGGTATCTTGGAAACTGCAAAGGTGGGATCAGGTGCCTATGAAGAGTAAGCATCCCCTGTCGACTGGTCATAGATTCGCGCCGTAAGTCCTATGTATTGATCAGCTGGTAGACGAATTTGATATCAACATACTGAGTGAGGTCAATATCATGCTGATCGGTGATGTTAAATCAGAATGAAATAATTACCGGTATAAGATGATCATGCACTCACCTTGCGGGGAAAATATCTGGCCCTGAGGGTGGGACCTAGGACACCCTCCTGATGCCGTGGTATTGGCCAAAGTGTAGTTCCAACAGGTCACATAGTCAAACACCTTAGGGCAGTATAACTTTCCTTTCAAAGAATGATTTAAGAATAAGGAAATATGAATATATATATATATATATATATATATATATATATATATATATATATATATATATATATATATATATATATATATATATATATATATATATATATATATATATATATATATATATATATATATATATATATATTAATTGAATGCATTTAGATATACGAAAATTTGAAAGGAATAGTAAAGGTAGCGATTAAATTTTTTTTATGACAAACGTTTTTAATAAGTGTGGAAATGAAATTCTTCTACCTTCAATATTATATCCAAGCACAAAGAAATATCGTTTTACCGTTACGCGTACATTGAAAGAAAAGATTTACGGTTCTGATTCATACTGCACTGTGAATATCACCTTTTATGTTATGGTTTTCACTTTCTTTTCATTTCGAGACGTTCGTTTTTGCTAGAAGCTACGAGAGATGTTCAACCAAATTTTAGTGATATAATAAATTCTACATTCTGTAGTACTTTTTCCAAACCAAAAAAAAAAAAAAAAAAAAAAAAACAATCCCTATCTATAAAACGATTTACGGCATCCAATTTTTTAAGAGTTAATGATGCATCTAGATTAACCTGAAATTTCCGAAATTTAATTTTGTTTTACATTTCATGTGTGAAGTTTTGTATTTTGTTTGTCCTCCCATAGATTATAAATATATTTTTAAATTTTCTTGCACCGTGGGCATATTTTACTTAATTTCATGTACATGTGCATGTTTGTGCTTTATGTGTTTTCAGCATATATTACTTTCTGACTTTTCACAAGAAATACAAAGAATTATGTATTATGGGAAGCAGCGGTGGGATTATGAAAATTAAAGACTGTATGTCCTAGATGTGGTCCACGTCTGAAATTCATCAAACAAAAACAATGGTTTGAAATAAACCCTCTGAAATAAAAGGTACATAGTTGTTAAATAAGTGTGAGTATGACAAACAACATTCTAAACACTAGAAAGAAATGAAATCCGAAATGCCTCAATCAATTAGAATTATTTGCGGGATTTAATTTAGTCAGTGATACGGAGCTACGCACACTAACTCCCGATACCCGCCTTCATTCTAAAATTAACCTTTTATCAGAATTGGCTTTTCTATGGCTGTTCTTTTGTTAAATATTGCAAAGCAGAGGTCATAAATATTTAATAAATTTATTTTATTACCCGTGTCAATTTGTTATTTGCTTTTAATTCTACTTCCCTTTAAAAAGGGGGTATAAAATTTTGTCCATTAAATTTGGGTCTTAAAATATAACTTTATTTTAAGTACTAATCAATTAGAATAATTCCCCTTCAACTTTTATTTAATTTAGATTATATTTTAATTGTGTAATAAAAATGTTTTATTTCTTTTTATAACCTGGTGGATGTGTACACAATAGCAGAAGCACGCAAATCTTTTTATATCATTGGTGAAGAATGTAAATAAATGTAAAACATTTAATACCTTAAACGGAATAGTGTCTATGTCGTAACTTGTTTCATCATAAATAAAAAATAAATCAAACGAACATATACATGAGAGAAAAACAGACAATGAGAGGAGTAAATGACTTGATATGTTTCTTCCAATGATATGCTAATCTGATCTGAGTAAATATTCGTTTAACGACGGAGAAAAATATTACAATTAAGAGATCTAAGAAATTGATATTTAATGGCCGTAGGAACCGGAGTGGGGACTGAGGGTAGGACCCCCTCAACAATTTTGCTGATATATAGTATACTATAGAGGCTACTTTATGGATGTGCCGCCTCAATTAATTAAGTCTGCTCCCCCCTCCTTTCCTCCTTTTTTTTATGGTAGTGCTGATTTGGTCATTCGTCTTAAAAAGTCTCTTGAGTAGACTCCTGTACCAATGTGACAATTTCTGAAAATCTTGACGGGCATCAAAAAAAAACTCTGTTTTATATTTTCTTTCAGCAGGAGTCCTTTGAGAATCAAATCTTGATAATTCATTGCGTTCTAATGTATCTCTTTCTTCGACTTTAAAAACCATAGATTGATAATCCGTTAAATGTTATTCTAACATTTAATTCAAGTGCAGTATGGATCCTTTTTAATATGCAAAGCTTTTAGTGTGAAACGTCGAGTTCCAGATATTTTTCTCTTCACAATTTGACACATTACAAATGGTTTCTTACTGCAATAGAATTCTGCACTCTCTCAACTTCCTAGTGAGAAAATATTCTATTAACCATTTCCACAACTTTTGAACAGCTGTTTGAACTGTATTTTATGGAACTTCATATTTTTCTGCCTTATATAATTATTCTTCAATTCTTGTCATTTCGGTAGACCATTTATGGTCATCATAAGGTTTAAAAATGACTTCTTCTTTTTTTTAATTTGAATCCTTCATGTTGTTTTTAATAGCTCTAAAATCATTTGTCTTCAAATAAAAAAAAATCTAAACAAGCTCTCGTTAGTGTAATTTTTCATTTTACGAAAAAATATTTATTTTTATACGTACAAGTTGCTATATTAAGAACATTTAATCCACTCTGGATAATGTCTTTTTAAATAAGCAATGAATAATTTCAATGCAAATGACCTTGAATAATAATCTTTAAATAATAATGATTCTTACAGTTTATAGCTTTTTTTAAATATCCTTTTTAAATGTCTGAAATTTTGTAACACACGACCTTTCGAAAATTTGACTACATGGTTATAAAATATAAAAATAAAATTACGCGTATCTTCATGAATGTGTCTAATTATAAATTTTATCCACACAAGAAAATTGATTGATCTCTTTATTTTCTTTTGATTTTGTTTTAAAAATAGAAAATATGATTTTTATAGAAAAGAAGACAATATGATCCAATTCAACTTTCTGCAAGATATACATTTTTACTGACCAATTGAAAATGAAAAAATATGATTTTAATGAATAACGCTTATATACCGATTAGCCAAAAATAAAATCTTTTGGGTTCAAACAAGGAAGCAAGCGGATATCTGAAGATAAAATGTACAAGTGGTTAGTTTCATATTTCAATATTTCATTGTGTAAAAAATAAGGTGAAAACCATGAATGTTTTAAAATTAAAAAGCAATGTTATAGTACTGCATGGTGTCTAAAATGTCTTGGAGACAGAGTGCCATTTTTTTAACAAACAACTGTAACCATATGATGTTATTCATAATATTTGACATGCAACACTTAAATAAACAATATTTTTTTTACTTAATTGCCATAAAAATTTAATTTCAATTATTTACTATACATAGTAGTACTAGTTATACCTTAATAATATCAACTTTTACTTAGCTGTAACTTTCAGGCGTTAACAATTTACGTAAATACCGGCTTTGCCTTATTTATCCTACACATTAATTGCTTTTTAGCTTCTACATGTATGTATTATTTTATCGGTCTTTATATGCTGATGGATAATTTAAATTGACCTTCTCACTTAAAGGATCAAATGAAAATACAGTTGAACTTCGGTATCCCGAACTCTGATATCTCGAATTCCATGCATACGTCGAAGTGATTTAGAAGTCCCAACAACTTATTCTTAAGTATTTTACCCCTGATATCCCGGACTCGTCCAATTCGAGATAAGAAGAGATATCCGACTGTATTTAAAACAACCTGTGAAATATCTATGAAACATGTACATGTATATTTTGTCTTATTTCTCACAACAGTTATTCACATTTCAGGCTCTATTACGCAAAACATGAAACTTTAATACAGAATTTGATAATAAAGATTTTTTTGGTCATAACACAAAAAGGACATTAAAATATGAACGTCATCTTTATTTTTCTTTTAAATTTACCGAGTGAGGAGTTCATATAAAAAATACAGCATGACACGAGGGACAAAATCAAACCTCTAGGCAGGTACCTTCCATTACTTGGCTCTGTCTGGTTAAATCTCTAGATAAGAACTTACCATTATTTGGCTCCGTCTGGTTAAATCTCTAGATAGGAACTTACCATTACTTGGCTCTGTCTGGTTAAATCTCTAGTTAGGAACTTACCATTACTTGGCTCTGTCTGGTTAAATCTCTAGACAGGAACTTACCATTACTTGGCTCTGTCTGGTTAGTTCTCTAGATAAGAACTTACCATTACTTGGCTCTGTCTGGTTAAATCTCTAGATAGGAACTTACCATTACTTGGCTCTGTCTGGTTAGTTCTCTAGATAAGAACTTACCATTACTTGGCTCTGTCTGGTTAAATCTCTAGATAGGAACTTACCATTACTTGGCTCTGTCTGGTTAAATCTCTAGTTAGGAACTTACCATTACTTGGCTCTGTCTGGTTTAGAAGTTTCCTACACAGAGTCAATACCTCGGGATCAGTTATAGTTGACAGCAGTTCTACTGTGATATCCATCTTTATCAACGTAAGCCGCTTCTTTAATGCAATTTCTGTAGATAATCTGAATAGTTACTAATTAATGATTAATCACTAAAATCGAAGACTGTTTCCCTCCTACGAAATGGAAGTCTACCTGTTATGGCTTGTCCCAGAGTCTGTTCCATAATTTCTTTGACTAAATATTTGAAACTTGGTTGCTGGTCACATGATTGATCACGTGATAGATAAGGATCTTTAACGAATTCAGGTCAGTGTGTTTCTTTGTCAAACATGTCAAAACAGAATATATCAATTTTTGATATTTCTTCTGGGATAAGTGATAAAACTAATCCCTTTTTTGTTTTTTGTTCATCGGCATAAAATATCAGGTTTAATTTCCTTCTTCATTTGCATTAATAATAATTAGTCATTTTCTGAATAATAATTAGTCATTTTCTGAATAATAATTAGTCTTTTTAATCCGTTTCACGCACCCGTTCACAGTCTTCACTCAGCTGAATATAATCAATTAAGCTTCATCTTTTTATTCCAAGACGTGTTGTTTATATGATGTAACCTGAAAATAGACATTGATTTTAAAAATTCAACAGAATAATAATGCAATTATTTTATCTCGATTCCCTGGGCGACATATACGGAGAGCAGATTGCTAATAGAATCAAATTTTCTTTTCTCTTTGTTCTAAAACAACAGAAGTTGACTTTTATTATCACGAAGCTTTGAATTTTTATTTGATTTCTAGGAGATTTGTTTTCTTCGTTTGCAAGAGTACAATTCTTAGTTTTGCTCAGATATCTTCAAATAGAATATACGCACAAAATTAATAAAGTACATCACCTGATCAATAAAAATTGCTTGTGAAAAGAATGGGAGAAATCGTCAATTAGGGCACATTGTATTTGACTCAATGTGATCAATACCTCAACCAAACAGATCATCATTTGTATAGTTATTTTATTTTTATATCTAATATATAGAACATCATTTTCTTTAAAACAAATTTTTCAATAAAACTATGTCAATTAGGAAGTGGGAAAAATATATTTTAGTACAATAAAGGGAATAGAGTCTATCTTTTTTACAGTGTTTAATAAATTATATTTTACATAAGCGTTTTTTTTTTTTGCTGATGCGAATTGTCAAGGGCTTCTAGAATAAAGAAATTAATATACATTTATTTCAATAAATTATTTACAAGGTCTTGTTACGGGATAGGGCCGAATCATTGAAAGACTGCAAATTAAGAACTCAGATTGTTTCATTTGTTTGTATTGTTTGATAATGCTTGTGGAAACAATACCAACGGTTCTTGTACTTTTATAACACTATCCTTTTACGTATTTAAAAAAAGAAAGAAAACAAAAACTCGGGCAATATCAATAAACTATAGTCAAACGACTTATATAACACTATATAATATATAAGCATTCGAAAAAAGGAAACTCGGGCAATACCAATAAACTATAGTCAAACGATTTATTTAACACTATACAATATATATATATAAGCATACAAAAAAGGGAACTCGGGCAATATCAATAAACTATAGTCTGGGGATACCTAAAACATTTTCATTAACTGTTGATTTGTGCACACACTATAAGCAAGATGATTAGAAAAACTTTGAACCTTTCATCTTTACTAAAAGTGATGAAAATCAACTGAAAAGTCAGTTTCCTCTTTTTGAATTTGAATCTAAAATCATTAGCGCATGCACTCCGTAAATTTATGTAAAATCACTGTTCAAAAATTCAATACAATAAACAATGGAAAGAGGTTAAAGTTACAGACTGCACACCAAACTGCACGAATGTAAAATCAGTGCCAAGAAGCGTGAAAAAATTACAAGTTCAGCAATAAAAATAACAAATTTTATGTTTCTCTCAATAAATTTAAAATTGAATGTACATTCATTGTAAAGTTTCAATAACTATTGGGGATATAAATTCATGTATATTAAACAAAGAAGGCACATCATAAAGCATAACGGATTGAATGACGGACGAAGTGGAGCGCGGTTACTAGACCTGCAAAAATTTTGTAGTTGGCGACGCAGTATAAATATTGTTTTCTACTGCTGAAGTATTACATCCCCTAATATAGGACCAAATTCTGTATTAGGGATGGAATACCTTAACTTCCCCGATCATTAGTTTAAAGGCATATTTGATTTGATATCAAATTTTTCGTCGTCTACTGTCTATAAATTGTCATCATTCCAGGAAATAAGAAAGATTTTTTTCGTATAAGTAGTGCAGCCCCCCCCCCCCCCCACCCTTTTTTTTTTTTTTTTTTTTTTTTTTTTTTTGAAAATTCACAATATACATGTATAGGATTCAGGTAATATTGTTTGTATTAGTCTATCACGTGTGATTTTTTTTTCATAATGAAAGCAACACTTCGGATTTTCAGAGTCTATCGCATCAACGTGTTCACTGAGAGGGGAAAAAAATCAACACTGTCTAACGAATTTCGAAGGTCTTCTATCCACATGTGTTCAACGTTTTGTCTTAAATTCCATTGAGCACACATCATCTGGATTGTCTGTATTTGTATTTATTTCAAATTATCATAGGTCATCGTTCTTAGCTGATGTCCCATATAAATCTTAGATGAAGATAATAATAGATTCAACAATATGACTCACGGCGGATATGGGGTCAAAAAGGGATGCTTACTCCTCCTAGGCACCTGATTCTATACCTCGGGAATTTCCGGAGTCCGTGTTCTATGCCCTATTTACAGATCTGTATTGTTTGTAGGTATCATTGATAGTTATCTTTACATTTCTCATTTTAAATACACATGTAGATGTATCTTGTTTAAAAACATCTGATCAAAGATTTGATCAAAGTTAAATTACATGTATGTTGAGCTTTACGGGAAAAACCAAGGATCTTACCAAAATGAATTCTACTGGACATCAATGATTAATGTCATTCTCCTTATTGCAAAAACCAAATGGTCTCCAAAGCTTCTAATACAATAGATGTTAAACCATGTAAAATTACTTAATATTCGATACTTTCGCATTTAAGAAAAGTTTTTGAATGAAAGAAATGCTTCAGGTCAATTAGATTTGCATTATAGGATTGCTTTTCCTGCCAAGGAAGCGCCAGTGAATATAATTAAGTGATTTTCACGTAGGCAAGACCTAAAACTCCATAAACTGATGACATTATGCTGTCATGACTACAAAAACGAAAAAAAAAAACTTCCTGTAAAGGGATTCAAGAAAAACTTGTCAGTTATTAATGATTATGAATACCTTAGTTTTCCAGTTTAATATATATTTTTATGCATATTTTATATATACTAGTAGAGTGCTTGAATAAAGGGCTGAGAAGAAGTAAACAACTTCGATCTGATAGTTTTACTTTAAGTTTTTTCTTCCTGATTATTTGTTAAAGGACTTATCGCATGATCTTTCAAAAATCGTAATTTTATGAAAAATATTATCTATAACCTTATTTATTAAAATACTGAATACAATAAACGTTGTTGAAAGCATATTTTAAGAGATATGGAGAGCTGAAATTCAAATACGGCAATATGCATATTTCAGTTGGATTTCGGCGAAATACTGCTCTGACGTCATAGGCGACAATTCGGTGATAGAGAGATGAGAACATGCACACTATTTACGGAGTTATCAACGACAAATGCAGCTTAATTACGAAAAATGCTGAAAAAATGAATTCCTTATATGCTTTTCAATTACTATAGAACATTAATTAGTTCTAAGGTATAAGGCTTTTAAGATATTTTCGTTTTTTATTCAAAATATTTAGAACCTGTAGCTCTAATTACGGCAATGTTTCGTGATCGGGAATTTACTTTTCAAGATCGCCATCCTTTAAAAAACATATGAAGACTTGCATAAATTAATGTTATATACAAAACGAAGAATAACAAAGTTATATAATGTTTAATTTGTGAACCATGTGATAAGATGACAAATCAAACTGCATTGTTATGGCGAGTTTCTTCGTCTTCGCTGCATCTCCCTCGCTATCGTCGCTGCTATTTTTACAATGTTAACAGATTTTTCAGATTTTTTCTTGCTGACAATTCTAGCATATAAGGTTGAATATTCAATTTATATCGATAAAATAAGTGATTTGGTCGTCCACAACGCAGAAAATTCAGGTTGTATCGCGTATATTTCAGTAAGATTAATGAAGAGCTGATCAGCCATTGTCGCCTTTGACGTCACAGGGTCACGTGATCGCTATCTAATTAACTTAGATTTTTAATTCAGGGGTTTTCATTTGAGTCAATAATTGGTTAATTACCGCGATTTATCCACAGTAAAAACACAGAATTTATAAATTGTGGTCATAAGGAACGTAATACGCTTTTAATTTCAAAAAATTTAGAAACATGCGATAAGTCCTTTAAGACTATTTGCTTTTATTTCATTTTTATTGCCATCAACTGCTAACAAATGGCATAATTCGAGAAAAACTGCCTTGTAGTCATCGTAAACCTACCTAAATTCAAGACATTATACAATACGGTCGATGTCTTTAATTTACACTAAGCGTGTTCGTCTATCGCTTGTGAAGTTTTTTTTTAATGAAAGGAAAATTTGGATTCTCAAAGTCTACGAAAGCAAAAGTGTCCATTATAAGAGAAAATTTAACACTTACACTCTAATGGTTAAAAGATGTCTTCGATGTCGAATGCTTTGTCTTAATTCCAGAGATAATTCATTCTATAAATTGTTTTTATTTGTATTTAAAGTATTTCATATCAATAAACGTTAATTTATGTTCTTGCTGTCGAAGTTTTATACAAAGTTACCTTTAACAGAAAACTTGCCATGAGGTCGAGGAATATTATAATAGATTTTAAATACTAGACGTAGATCTTTTAAAAACAAATCGATCCAAAGATTTAATTCTAATCAAAATACGTTCTACTTGTAGGGAGAAAATCAACTGTTTTATCAATTGAACTATACTAAGTACATGTATCAATGATTTACATCTTCTTACCGGTTCTGTGAAAATCCAAAGCCTTTATTGAAATTAATAAAACAATTCAAGATTACCTAATAGTAGATGT